ATATTTCGTGCTGTAATGAGATCGCTCGGAAACCCAGTAGCTAGAAATATGTGATATACTGGTCCTCGAAGTTCGGGAAGTTAATTGTCTATGCGGCATTTGGACAGGGAACATTTCGTTGAAATTTCAGCCTTCCAGCTTTCCTGGTTCCCGAGTTAGTCATTCTCCCGCCAAAAATTTTCACGGAGCCGTACGTGATTAACATTCACGCTGAGAACTTGTACTAGGAACAGCCTTTGAAAATTTCAACTCCCCAGCTTTCCTGGTTCCCGAGTTAGCCATTTTCCCGCCAAAAATTTCCACGGGGCCGTACGTGATTGCCATTCACGCTGTTGGGCTGAATTTGATACCCATAAGTTGAACTTGTGCTAGGAACATTCTCTGAAAACTTCAGCCCCCCAGCTTTCCTGGTTCCCGAGCTAGCGATTTTCGCGCCAGGAATCCCCACGGGGCCATACGCGGGAACCACGCACACCTGGGGACTGAATATGAAATCTTTGAGTTCTATATGGACGGGAGACATAACCTCAAAATAGCAGCTTTCTAGCTTTTCTGGTTCTCGAGTTAGTGGTTTTCCCGCCAAAACTTTGACTCCCTTGTACGCGGGGCCCAGATCTGCGTGAGGATTGGTACTGCGGTCCTGGGGTGACATTTGGCCGGGGAACCCACTCGCGAAATTTTGGCGCCGGAGCTTGCTTGGGTGCCGACTTGAAATATCCAGACAGACAGACAGACACACACGCACACCGGGGTCGTCGTAATATGCGTTTTCGCATTTACATATATGCAAAAACGCATAAAAAAACTAAAGGAAAAGGCAAGCAAGGTCCGTCAAATTTAAATGAATCGTTCGGTTTTCCCAGTAATGGATGAAACATTTCGAGAAGTGAGTGCAAGGTTTCTAGCGCGTGGCTTACATTTTGGTCTTTTGCCTTCTGGAACAAACTGATTTCAAATGTTTTGCTTTTGGCCAGACCAGGTGCGCAGCAGTTTTATTACGCTATAATCAGGCTCGCAATTTTTCCCATCAAAAGATGCTTTTAAAATATAAAATCATTTGAAAGGAGGCAGAGGGTGGTTCTCCGTCGACGCTGGATGAAGGGCTCGAGTTGACAGGGGATGAGGAACTGTCAACCACTGACGAGGAGTCGGATGAAGACGATTCCATGTTCGCCCTGTAGTGTGTTTTGCAATGTGACATCGCTGTTACCATCCGTTTGCTGGTGATTTTATTTGTCGTGCAAAATGCATTGTTTAGTAAAATTTCACAAATTATACGACAGCACGAAAAAACAAATGTCACAGCACTGCAGGAACAACACACACACTGAAGTCAGTGCGACCCCATCTAACATCTTGAGATTTAGGGAGAGGCATCAATGAGAATAGACAGACTGTAAAAGTGCATAAAATCTAGGAAAATCATTGAATATGACTTTTAATGCCGTGGAATAGTACCGACTCTTCTCAGTTTTCAATCTCCCCTTCTCCTTTCCCTATATTTTCTCATTATTTTTCGTCCTGGTCTTTAGGTTACAGTTGCATTTCGATTAGTTAAAAAGGGTGCCTGAGGACTATGTTAAATGTTCTTTTTCCCTGTTCGTTTCGAGAAATAATGGCAGCAGCTTAATCAGGTGCTTTTTCAATCCGTACTTTATCATTAGAAGCGGAGGCGCTAGCTTTTCAGTGGTAGAGCCTATCGAATGGTAAAGAGTACGCTCACCTTCCACTATCACGGCATAGCAAGCGATGATGTGCAAATGGAATACGGGGTGGTAAATGATATGGCAGATAGCAAATGAAGACAAGTGCTCTAGTACAAAACCAAGTTTACGACTGCGATTATGCATTTTTACACCTAGGTCAGTTCGTTAGCAGTATGAATGGTTCCTGCGTTACATTTTAACACCTGGACTCATGTTAGCTGTGTTTTGGCTTTTTATGCGTTTTTGGTGTGCAGGGCAATAGCGCTGTTACACTAAACAAAAATTGGCCAACGCAG